CCGAGGGGAAAAGAACGGAAATCTCGCGGCTGCGCTGCCTAGCAGGCGTGGTCCCACCCCATTGGTGGGGAGGTGGGTGACGTTTGGGTCAAACGAGGCCGCTTTGTTTAATAGCATTCTACCCCCCGCCACGGGAACTACTCCCCGCTCTGCGGCAGCGCCCCCGCCAGCCTCTCCAGGCCCCACTGCAGCTCTGCATCTTGTCCGCTCAGCTACCAGTAGGACTTCCCTGGTCTCGCAGGCGCTGCCCTCTCTTCCCCGCTCTACATCCCCAGCCTCAGCTTCCCACTCCGCTATTCTGGGGTTCCCCCTTCTCCCTCCCCTCCCACAGCTGGAGACCTTAACCCTTACTCCAGCCTTCCTCAGGGCTTCCCTCCCAACGCTTCCTGCAGCTGCAGGTACCCCCACCAGCTGCTCCCCGTCCAAGGCCTTCCTCTGCCCCGGCTTCTCCAGTATCCTGCAGTCCCCACACTGGAGGCCTCTGTTTTCTCATGGTCCATCATGGATACCTCTGTCCCCTACTTATTCCATCGTTTGGGGGGCGAGAGTAGCAGACCTTGTCCCTTTCTCAAGGGATTGTGTTTGCCTTCCCTGACACCACCTTACAAATAATCAGGGAGATAGGGGTCTTCCAGAGAAGTGATATCAGCTTCTATAATACTGACAAGATGTGGCCAAACACTGGGCGTGGGGTGGGGGTATGAGGATTATGGGAAGGAAGTGCAACCCCACAAGGTTTTCCTGTGCTATGGGGAAGTCTCAATCAAACATGGACAGGAACATTCTTGAGCACTGGAGAACTGGTGGAAGAGTTAGGCTTCCTGGGCACACAAACCCCAGAATTGTTGTAATTTACCAAATAGGTCAAATTTGGCTTCTGGAGCCTGGATGTATTTAAGGAGCCTGTCCATTTAGAATTCAGAAAAGATCCTACTTGGCCCTTAAGAGCATTATCTTTGGTTGGTGCCTGATCTTGATAATCCAAATGCAAATGGGTGACCAGTGGCCACAGATGCTGACACGCACCCTGGGGAGCCTGGTTCTTCATCCAAGTAAAGTCTGGCTATGAATGTTTTTTTTATAGAGCCCCCACAGCAGGTTTCTGTTTGGGGGCACATCAATGAAAAATAAAGAAGTAGTGAACAATTCAATTGTAAGAGCCAACACAGGCATATTACAATCTGAGTGGTTAAGAACTGGATATTGATATAAAAAAAAGTAGTCAGAAGGGTACTTTAAGAAGTGCAAGGGGACTGCCAGTCTCTCTGCTGGTGAGGCCATTATGTGAATACACATCCACTTTCTAATAATATCACTCATATCATTCGTATAATGTATTCCAGTGTCTCATTTTTAATATAGGAGACAAGGAATTTCTCAGCGGATACAGTTTCACCTAGTTGTCCTTCAACCATGCAGCTACATGTAAAACTGAATATATCAGAACCTTATAATTTGAAATGACTCAATATACTGGTATCTAGTATTAAAAGGGAGATAATACTGAACATTGCTCCCAGAGTATGCATATACCATGAAATAAGTTAGAAATCTGTAATACAGTGACATGTATGAAGAGCAGAAAAAGCAGTTATAAAATTATATTTTTAAGGATCTCTGATCAAGAAAAGACTAGCAGGACAGCATCTTTAAACATTTTAGATCGATATACAGTAGTATGAGCAAAAGTATGTAACATTTCCCACACACAATAAATTGCTACAATTAAGCAAGGAAAGATAAGCTAGACCTAATTTATAATAATATAGTAAAATTATGTGTTATTAAACAGTCATTGAAAGTTTAGTAATAATATTCTGTAGGCAGATCACTAAACTGATAATTAAGAACTAAAAAGACATTTCATATAGAGATGTCAAGGGAAAGCTGTAGCTGAACTAAATCAAATTACTTACTTTCTTCATTCTGTGAAGAGCTGTGTACATCAGTCATTGAAGAAGGATGTTTGAAATCTTTTTTCTAAGATAAATATTCTTGATATTTAAAAATATGACTACATTTGTGATGTCAGGTAACTAGTTAAAAAGGAAAAATTCTCCGGGAGAGGGTGTAACATGGAAACAATTTAATTAATAAAGTGTTAGGCAAACCTATCAAGACCTGCTACTGCCATTCATTGCAAACACATGGAGTCATATCCTGAGGGGAAGTGTGCTGTAGGGAGTCTGAGCACAGGATGGGGAGCTAGGAACTCTTGAGTTCTAATCTTTATTCTACCACTGACTTGTTTTGTTAATCTGGCCAAGTCACTTAACCTCTCTGGCCCAGATCCTCAAAGGTATTTAAGCTTCTAACTTCCATTAATTTCAATGAGGATTTGGGTCTCTGGGCCACCATCAGTAACACAGAGCTAATAAAACTTACCTACATCAGGGTTCATAGTAATTTGGTAATGTTTCCAAATGTAACTTAAGTAAGTGCTAAGTATTCATTGCCTCCCATTTTAGCAAAACTGTAAGATCATCATAAACACTAGGGTGTGGCCCAGATTTTGTGATAACTATAAAGTAGAATTCCTCTTACATACTAATTATACAGTCCTTACTACAAATCTTGTCTTGCAACTAGATAGAGTGAATGAAGGCCCTCCATCTTTATTAAGTGGATCTTATAACCTGAAATGCCTACTCCATGGGTCCATATGGGACCCATTTCCAATTGTTTCTTTAGAAGCCTCAAAAGGCATATAGAATAGTATTAGGAATGTCTATATATGGATAAACAAGATATAAGATATGGCTAACCCAAGCTAATCAATCTGTGATAGAAACCAAAATTATATGACTGGTAGCATCACTTATTATTAAGGTTCCCTGAAACTTTCCATTATAAGATCTGTTTTCAGTGAGTTACAACTTCGCCAAACTTTAGCTGTTCAGGCTGAAGTTTTCCATGGTGGTATCTACCTCAGGCTGCTATTTTTAAGTCTCAGACAAAATGGTTCAGCTGTTTTCAAGAATGACACTAGTACAACTAAGGAAAAATACATTGTTTTGCAATGTAAAAAAATTAATAAATCTGGCAACTTTTTCTTTGAGAAGCTCTAGCATTCCCATATTTTGTAGCTGGGACTTTAAATTTGGCAAAGAGGCTTTGTGTCAGGAATGTGCCTTTTGGTATTCCTGGGAAAATCTGTCCAAGTTATAAGCCTTTGCAAACTGAGATTTTTTTTTCAGATTCTCAGTAGAGATTTCTTAGGTTACCTCTACACATTAAACTTGGAATGTTACAGTTCCCAGCTCAAAGAGACATACCTGTCCTAGCTCTGATAGAGCTAGTGTGCTAAAAACAGAGCATAGCCATGATGGCACGGGCAGCAGGAGAGGCTAGCCACCCTGAGTACATACCCATCCAAGATGTTAAGTACTGCTCAGGGTGCCTAACCCCTGCTGCCTTTCATGCCAAAGTTGCTACACTCTATTTTTAGTGCACTAGCTCAGTCAGAACTAGCATGGAAATGTCTCTTCTAGCTGGGAATCACAACCCCAGTTCGAAGTGTAGACATACCCTTAGAGTTTAGCAGATAAAGACTGCTCACTGAGCATGTTCCGTCCCCTCACAACTCCAGCCAGGAGAGGCTGGGCATGGCAACAAAGAACAGGGAACCTGTCTCTCCAGTGGTCTTAATTACTTCCCTGTTATGTGCCCATTCAGTGTGGAGGAGAAAGCCAACTGACTTGAAAGCAAAGGGGACAACAGCTGGACTCAGGGAATGGGGGTGGAGAATAGATTGGGACAAGGAGCCTGGTGAGACTGGGAACAAAGATGGGGACTGGTTGGGCAAGGAGATTGGAACCAGGAGCCAGGTGATGGTGGGAAACTGCGATTGGCTGAGCAAAGAGATGGTGGCTGGATGGCAAGGGGAAGCTGGGTCTGGCTGAGAAAAGAGGCAGGTACTGGTTGGGCAAAGAGACTGAGCTTGGGATGGGGGAGGGGACACTGGAACTGGAAGCCACAGGGGGGAAGACTGTGAGCCACTAAAGAAAATGGGGTAGGGAGACTAGGAACCAGTTGGTGGGAGAGACAATGAAAGGAAAGAGGAGCCAGGGCTCGGGGATGACTGAAACTGGTTAGACAAGGAGACAGGAAATTGCGATGCATGGGGACGGAGGAGGGTGCAGGCTCTGGGGTAGGGCCGGAGGGGGGTGCAGGCTCTCCAGGGGCTGCGGTGAGGAGAGAGGACTCCCCCCAGCCCTCTCTCACTGCAGCAGCTTGGAGCCAGGGGAGAGCCGCCTCTCTCTGGCTGCAGCAGCTCCAGTAGGGCTGGGCTGAGGGAGGGGTTCCTCTTCCCCGGCTGCAGCAAGTCCGGGGCAGGTCTGTGTTGGGGTGCTCTCCCCTGGTGATGGCAAGTCCGGGGCAGGTCCATGCTGGGGCCGGCGGGGCTTAATAGGCAGCTGCGCGGCCACACAACTTAAAGGGAACTTAGGACAGGAGGGTATGCATCCATTACTAGAGAACATCCCCTTCTAGAACTTGGAATAGAACTCAAGATTCCCAAGCACTGGTATTATTAGTGCAGGGTATTACCATGACAGTAATTTAACCATACATTCCTTTATTAAATCCAAAGGCCAAATGGTACTCATACAGTTCTGGAACAGCCTTTCAAGGGAAGCAATCTGGACTGTTGAACAGCTGTGACCCCTCAGTTCTCCAACCTGGAGTGTCTTTTACATTGCTTCACTGTGAGAGTAACCACCCTTGGTCTGCTCACACACAGCCTCCATCATGTAATTTATTCACAGCTATAGTGTATGTAAATTATTCTCAGCTATGACCAGCCACTCTTGTACTGCGCTGCAGAGCAACACAATCAAATTCCCAGCCACAGGCTTCCCCCCAGAAATGTGCATCTTGTACTGCCCAGCCCTCTCCTGGACAACTCCAGCTCATATAAAGTCTGTCATTTTATTAATAATATGCACAAATCCTGTTATCTCAAATAGAATTTCCCCAACACTTCAATCCAAGCACACTGGTTTAGATAAAACAATGAAACAAGTTTATTAACTACAGAAAGATAGATTTTAAGTGATTACAGGTAATGAGACATAAAAGTCGGAACTGGTTACAAAGAAATAAAAGGTAAAAAGCAACTCACACCTAACTTAACAAGCTAAGTGATTTCAAAGCAAAAGTCTCTCTCACCATGTTTGGGCACTATTACTGGCTGAATTTCTTCTGCCAGGATCCCTCCCCAGTCCAATTATGCTTCTTGTGTTCTTCAAGTGTTGTCGATGCATGAGTAGAGATGAAGGGACAGCACTTTTGGAGCATCTGTTCCCCTTTCGTATACTTTGAAAATCATCACCAGCTGACATTCAGGAGACAGCAAGTCTGTGGTGCTGGGGGCCTCCAGCTGTTTCTTTGTCAAAAAATAGATTTCTTGCTCACACCCTTTTTCTTGCCAAAGAATGGCTGCTTAACCAGGTGCCAGTCCATTTGATTTTGTTGACACCTGGCTGAGGTGTCAGTTTGCCTTTTGTCTCTCAGGAACTGGTTTGTGCGTGCTTTTCTAAACTTGGAACACATCTCAGCAATGTCATGCCAGTAGAATTTTATAACTTTACATACAATGTTGCCACACACTTCACCAGGACAATAATGATCAGCAAATTATGAGTTTTCAAATGATACCTCACAAGGTACATTTTGTACAAAATTTATCATAGTTTTGTAAAAAGGGTGAACATAGGGATAGAGACTGTCACACTGTGTGTTTCTCATTTTCTGGGGGCCCAACTTGACATACCTTGGGTCTGATAGGCAGAAGTGTTGAGCACTCACAGCTGCTACTGAAGTCAATGGAAGCTGTGATTTGAACATCTAAAGTGGATATCAATCCTCTTGATAATTTTATATCAACTTATATTTTCAAGGCTATCAGTGCCCCCAGGTTGGTTCATCTGTAGGGGTAACTTCCACGTTTTTCAAACTTTCTAAGCAAAACTAACTTTTGGTCCCCATGAAGACCACAGAGCCCCTAACTAGAGCGACCTTAAATATAAAGGAAATTATCAGAATAAAGAAATATTTAACATGAAACATCTGAAAAAAAACCTCCTGCAAATTATGAAGATGACTTACTCCTTGAAGAGATTTCTTGAGGGAAAAGATTTACTTCCTTGTAATGAATACAAGAAAAAAAAAAGGGGGGGCAACGAGGCACCTCTAGTGAATAAAAGATAGAACTGCATGACTTGTATGCACAACATGGAGAAGGTCTTGTTTTCTTTGCTTTGGTCTAGCTTAGTCATGTGGTCTGTAGCCTGACCCTGAGAGGTGCTGGGCTGCTGCAATGAGTAATGGGGGCTGTAGCTCTAGGATTGGGCTTCTAATCAGTACACTTTAACTTGAGGTTTATGGCTTCCCCCCTTTAATCTGATTTTTAACCATGATTCTTTTTCTTAAAATTAGTAAGATTTTTTTTTTAAGTTTCAATGAAATTTCTAAGTATATTTAGACAGGTAACAGTATTAACCGGCAGCCCTCAGTTTGGCCACTTTTGCTAGTTGCTCAAACCTACCATCCACTCAACTAACCTCATTTTTCTATCTGTATGTCTCAATTTATACTGTTACGTTAACAAAACTGTCACAAACACACATTTTCTCTCTGCTAACTTTAGTGCTGAAGTTGTTACTGCTTTTTACTTCTCTTTTGACTAATACTGCTACTTTGAGATCAGTTCTTCTCCGATTCTTAAATTCTGTGGATTTCGTGAAAAATATATTTGGCTGGCGTGACCTGATTAAAATGTTTAGGGTAAAATAAACTTATACTATGATCCTTATAACAAAACCTTACTGGAATCTATGATATTATTTGCATTCTGTTAGAAAAGCAGGCTAATTCTAATTTATAATTCACTGAGGCCAGGATTTTACCCCAAATCTCCAAAGATGAAAAGTAATTAAATCTTCTCTCTGGGATGGTGTACCAGTGAAAGTTCTTATAATGAAAAATACTTGAGGACTGGGGAAAGTCCTTTTCTAAAAGGGTATTTAATAAAGAGATTCCCAGAAAAATTGTCTATTGATTAAAGTACCAAAGTCTTCCTCTCTTTACTATATTAATTTGAGCCCATTTTAGGGTAAAAGTGACGTCAACCTCAAGTTGAAAAATCGTAAGCCAGTGTCAAATATAACTATTGGCTTTAAAATCATCTGATTTTAAAAATTATTTTTGGATTCTTTATATTTTTCTCTATATATCATGTTTTCAAACTATTCTCCACAATTATGAGGGCTAGATTTCTATTTATTTATTTTAATTGAAGGCTGAGATTCTCATGTAATCAAATTATTCCAGGAGCTGGAGATTTTAGAATAGTACCAAATATAAGAAGACATATGATAAAATCGTGTGAATTGGCAACACTGCCTGTATTAAATTTCTATCATTGCTTTGGGCAGGCCAGGAGTACTCAGTTGTCCATGTAGATTAGTTGTGCAAGGAACATAAGTAACCCACATTGCTGAGTGTGCACAGAAGTTGCAGAGTCTGAGCAATGTGTGGAAATACCTTTTGTCCCACAACTCTGGTTCAGACCTCAATGCACAGGCTTGAGAAAAGTTGACTTTGAAGTTTTTTGGGGGAGCTCGAATTGAGTTACAACTGTTGCATCCCATAGTTCTCCTTCACCACATTTTGGGGGCATAGAAACAGCCTGAATTCAGAATTTGACATCAAATGTGTAAACGGACCAAAACAAAAACAAAACAAAAAAAGGGCTCATTTCAAGCATCAAATCAATAAATAAAAATATTTAGCAAATTTAGAAATAAGAGTCAAAAGCAAATACAATGCTAGGACTTATAATTAATAGGCTTTGTAATTAGTATGCATTCGAACATTTATTTACTAGTAACTGAATACATACTAATTACAAATGTTATTAGCAAGACTACTATTAATATGAGGAACAATGTACCCCAAATATGCATAATGATGATATAATTCCATTGAGGAGGTTCTGATGGCATCGTCAATTATGCTCAAGTAGTCTGTAAATTTCATGAAAAACCTGAGATGGAAAGAGAATCTTAATTTATGCATAGCTAGTCAGTGCACTTCTTAAGCAATAAGACATGCTAGTCTAAGGAATTCTTGCCTCCAAACTTGGGCCCCAATGCTGAAAGGCACGTGCTTAACTTTACTCATTGTGAGTAGTGCTGCTGAAGCCAATGAGACTATTATGCCTATTCTGAAACGTCTGAAAAAGCAGCATTAATGTATAATACTGGAGGCAGAGGGAGTGGATAAGATGTTATGGTATAAAAGCATGACAAGAATTTGGGATGGCTCTATTACTCACAAGAGGTGAAGCAAAGGGTGAGTTATATAGGTCACCCCAAATGAGTGCCAATAAAACCCTTATAACGCATTATGTATTCAGCATATCGTCATTACACAAAAAAGTGTTCATACTGTACCTACAACAAGGGGGCCTTGGGACCATGAATGGGACTCCTAAGTACTACCACAATACAAATAAATAACCTCAAAAAATAACCCAAGATAGTTTTTCTACTATTATTATTACACAATAAGGCCCTGATTCTACAAATACTTTGATTATGCTTAATTTTCCTGCCCTGAGTAGTCCTACTGAAGTCAGTGAGGGCTAATTTGTGCCTAAGTATTTGTAGGATTGGGGCCTAGGTTCCTAAATGGGATAGAAGAAAGTACTGCATATCCATTGGAAAGTTGGAAATACAGCTGGATGAAAAATTTAAAAACTTATTTTCATCTTCCCCCAAAAAGTTAAACTTTAAACTATTTTAAACACTTTAAACTTTCATCTTAAAGTGTTCAGAATAGAGCCATCTGTTTGTTTTTAAGTTTTTATGAATATTTAAAAATAGTTTTCAAAACATATATAAAAATTACCATTTGAAAAATATCAAAAAAGCATTTTTTCAAAAAATAAAAAACTTTCACTTTTCTTTTCAACAAAGAAAACTTTTCATTTAAAAAAAAAAAAAAAAAAAAAACTTTGGCCAGATGTAGTTGGGAATCTCCCTGTAACAATCGTATATGTTTCTGCTTTTAGAACTTGTAGGTTGAAAGATATCAGACGATATGTGCTAGAATGTGTGGAACATACCTGTTTGCCGTGTTTTTGTTGCCAGGTTGGCCCCAGGATATTAGAGACACAAGATGGGTGAGGTAATATATTTTATTGGACCGACTTCTGTTGGTGAAAGATACACGCTTTTGAGCTACACAGAGCTCTTCTGTTCCATACGAGGCAGCTATCAGCATTCCAGGACTGAATATGGCCCATCCTTTACTACAGACTGGTGTGAACTGTGAGAGAAATTTTTATTTCCAGGGGAAAAGGAGGAAACATTTTGTGATAGGTTGATTTTGGAGGAAAATGGCAGCCCTTGGAAGTTACTCAGAGTTCTGGAATGTTAGAAATAGCAGCAGGTATTTTGTGGCCTGAGTGCAGGTGAGAAAGCAAAGTTCCATGTTAAATGCAGGTTATCACATAGATATCACCACATCAGCTAATTTATATTTAAATAGAATACTGATGCTTGTTAAATTGACTAACAACATTAGTTTCTATGTTTCAGAGTAGCAGCCCTGTTAGTCTGTATTCGCAAAAAGAAAAGGAGGACTTGTGGCATCTTAGAGACTAACAAATTTATCTGAGCATAAGCTTTCCTGAGCTACAGCTCACTTCATCAGATGCATCCGATGAAGTGAGCTCACGAAAGCTTATGCTCAAATAAATTTGTTAGTCTCTAAGGTGCCACAAGTCCTCCTTTTCTTTATTAGTTTCTATGGTTTTTTGCATCTTGAAATCTGGTACACTGTCATATACTGCTAATTGCAGGGGGAAGACCCTTAACATCTGATATGTATTTTGAAATTTTTAAAGACTTCTAAGGGTTTCATTTATTCTACGCCGCCTCCCACCCCGCACTTTTCTCTTTTTACATGTGCTTTAACTGATCGTTACTTTCCCTTGCCGCCCTCAAGCTCTTCCACTCCGCCTAGACAATTGTAGACAAGTCCATTAAAAGCCACGCTCAGGACCTAGCAGTTTCCAGTTGCATTAGTCTCTCTTCTTTTCCTTTTCCTATCTGTAAGTTATCTAGCTGTACACAGAAGCAACAGCAGCACAACAGAGCCTCTACCTGCCGCTTGCCGGGGAGCTCAGCTCTGCAGCGGTTCGGTGCGTGGAGCCCGGCGCAGGCAGCCCTCCCAAGCGCGGTCAGTCTCCCCTGGTTTGCCACTCACCGCTGGTTAGGCAGGTCTGTCCAAGTTGGAGGCACGGAGAGGCCCGCGCGCGCCTGTACTTGGGCTTTCAGGCGGGGTAGAGGGGTCTGGAGCGAGATGGCGCCTCCATCACGAGCGCTTGTTGCGAGAGGCACCCCGGCCCCTGGTCTCGCAGGCGCAGAGGCCCGGCGTAGGGGATTAATGAAGCCCGTCAGCCCAGACAGTGGGACCACCCTGAGAGACAAGGGAAACCTCTGCAATGAGGCATAGAAAAGCAGACGGGATGAAGGAAGCAGGGCCAAGGGAAGACGGGGGGCGAGGGGTTATGGTGCCAGGGCAGCTCCTCCCAGGACCCCAGCTAGAGGGAACGCCGAGAGGCTGGCAGCCGCGCTGTGCACAGGCCGCTCGCCGACAGCCCTTCGCTCCGCTAAACCCAAACCAGCCGTTAACGTTCCCCACGCGGAGCCGAGCCGCTCGCGCCGCTGGGCCGAACGAGGGACTCCGCGCTCCTCCCCTTCAGTCCCCCGGCTGCAGGAGCGGAACGGACCGCCTCGTCTCGCCTGCCCCTCCGGAGGCGGTGGCGGCGGCAGCAGCAGCAGGAGGAGGGAGCGGGGCGGTGCTGGGGCCGGCTCCTCCCAGTGGCGGGAGAGGGGGAGCGGAGGCGCACACGGGCAGGATTAGCTCATCTCGGCGGCGGCGGCTCCTCGGCAGCCTCGTCCTGCTTCGGGCGCCCTCTCCTTGTCCCCGGCCGTGAGGCGCGGCGGCCCGTCCCCAGCCGGCTCCATGGCTCTGTGCAATGGAGAGGCCAAGGTCAGTGCCGCGGCGGGAGCCCCGGAGCGAGCGCGCTGCCCCTTTCCCCCTGCAGCCCGGGCCGCGCGGCCGCTCGCCCCAGGACACTCCCCACGCCGGGCCTGCCAGCCTCCTCCGGGGCGCTTTGTGCGCTCCGCGCCCAGGCCCTTCCTCGGGTTCCCGCCCAGGATCACCCGCAGCGAGACCGCCCCCAGCGCGGGGAGCTCGCTGCCACCCTGATGTGAGTCCCCGGCCGGACTCCCTGCAGCGGGAGGAAGCGCCGCCCGGGGCACATGGTACAGGCAGCGGGGGAGGGGGCATCGTGCCTGGCGCTCGCAACCTCCAGCGCAGGCAGCAGCACCGCTGGGGGAAGGGGGCAGTGGAGGGGACATTTGGCTGTAGCTGCCCTGCGCAGCGCCCGTGTCTTCCCCCGGCCGGGGCTTTGCATGATCGCTGTTGCCGCTTGCCCCCCACAGGTGCCCCATGAGGGCGGGGTAAAGGGGAGAAGGAGGAACACTGGTGCCCCCGCTGTGTTAGCTGCAGGTTGGGGGAAGCCGCGCAAGTGTCCAGCCGTTGAGCCTTTCCACTGTCCAGCCCAGGGATTTGGCATGAGAACAGTAGAGGTGCCAGCAGCACACCCACTCCCCGCCTGAGTGTGGTGGAGTCTGGGTGCCCCACGCAGTGGATGGGGGGAACAGCACACTTGCCTCCAGTGCTTTCCCCATGTTGCTGGCTTGAGGCAGGGGTCCCCATTGCTGGATTGAGCGTGGCTCCCAAGAGTCCTGGTCTTTTCCTTTCTCCATCCTTCCACTGGGGAAAAGAGCACAGATTTCCCCATCTCCAACCTTCCCAATATCTGTTTGCTCAATAGCTTTGTACAAATGATAATCCCACAGTGCGGACAAAATAGTCTTTTCTCAGTTTTCTGAGCCAAAAGCTGCTGTTCCCTTAGCATAGCAAGTAGACTGAATAATATTCCTCCCAGCTCCTGGGGGAAGGGTACCTCTTGCTCTCCCAGTTTTTGTAGGTGGTGCCCAACCTGAATTTACAGTGAAGTTATGATTTAGTCATGCATAGGTTGTTGGATATGGTGCAGGGGTATCTATGGTTGCAGTTTAATGGCATGTGGGAGGCCAGATTAAATGCTTGGACCCTTCTGGCCTTTAACACTACGAATCTATGAAATAAAGCAGAAAACGTTGAATATAGTGGATGCTTTGTGATCCCTGGGGCTTAATGGGGAGGGGTAGTGTCTGGTATTTCATAGCCCATGATCTTCATGAAGGGATTGGGAATTAACTATCAGATTTTTATGAGCCCCCTGTACAGTACTGCCGCAAACCTCTGAATGTAAAGAGCTGCATGTGCCTGGTTCCTCTGCTGTTTCTATTACTCATAGGCCTTGAGGATGTATAGGGCAGGAAATTCACAGTGACTTCATTATAGCTCAATTCCAATTCAGAGGAGCTTTACTTCAGTTTACCTTTTTTTTATTTTTAACTAGCTTACTCGTTTCCGCCAAGTGTGTTAAAGCTATCACAAGCACATTAGCACTATATAATTAAAGTTTCCTTATTTCTTCTTTTTGATCCTTTAATTTTATTTTGTCTTAACTAGAAAACAAGACAGTTCTATTAATAATACTTTATATTTGTATAGTGCTTTGATCCTGAAGAATCCCATAATGCTTTAAAAATTTTGGTCCCAGTGCTGCAGCCAGTTCCATGTGAGAGATGCCTGTGGAGGCCCTGTTGACTTCTTTGGAGATCAGTGCTTTTGTATTTGCAGCAATGGGATGGGAGTGTGAGTTCTCATGATTGGAATGCCTTTTCTAATGATTCAGGACCACACTTCGACAATAAATAATATTCAGCGTAGCGTATTACAGACAGTAATTCATGAACTCAGGTAATGTACATAAGAGCTTAAGTCAAAATGTATTTCACTTGGTTTTGTCTCTACTGATGGATTCACATTTATATACTTAAGTTTTAGGGGTATAACTATATTTGTTAGGGTGTGAGATTTTTGCTGACACAGGTACACCATTATAAAGGTACTTTATACTGGGACATCTTATTTTAGTTTCCAAACCAGAATAAGCTTTGCTGATGTAACTGTGTCCATACTAGGTTTGAGTATTTTTGCCACTTTATACCAGTGCAGATAAAGCAGCAAAAGTTTCTGCTGTAGACAGCCTCAAAGGGCATTGCTACGCTCCCCTCCCCTGCACATTCCTCTATTTCCTACTAGGGGTCACACCTAGTTTTTTGACAAAAATGGGCATTTTTCCAGTTTGCTCTTGCCAGCTGATGATCATTTGGCAAGAGCAAATGGGACAAATGCCCAGTTTTGCCAAAAAAGTTGGGATGGCTGGGACAGAGCTTAAAAAAGGGACTGTCCAAGGCAAAATGGGACATCTGGTCACCCTATGCAAGGCCCATCTTTTATCCCTTGTCTATGAGGAAATGAAGTATAGCATAGGATTAGGTAATGGTGGCCTGGGTCTGGGGAGGTAAGTGTGGGGTTGATTAATTTGTTGTATTAATGTTGTTGCTGGGTTAGTTGACTTGATCTGCGGTAACTGATGGGTCTGTTTCATTTATGTATATTTTAAAAAGATTTTCAATGGTGACAAGAACATTGGATAGGTGCTCTTCTATTGTACTATGTAAAAGTCCAGATACATTTTTTATAGCTTTCTTAACCAAAATAAAACCTACACTAGCTTGAAAAGACCGTCCAAAACTCAGTTTTGGCTTGTTTAAGCCCCTGATTTCAATAGGAGCTGTGGGTGTTAGAACCTGTGTTTAGTCAGGCAACTTATTTAGGCACCTGAATATAAATTCAGGTGCCAGAGTTTAGGCATTCAAGTATGAATTCTTTGGTCTGAGCTACTCAGATTTGCTGCTGAGTACTGCATAAACTTAAAACTGGGTTAATAGAAGTCTTGCAATATAGCGTATATGTATAAAATGTCTCTGCAACATTACACACTTTAACACTGTGTTGGGGTGTTTGTGTGTACGTATGTGTATATATATTTATGAACAATATTCAGAAATTGAGAGAAGTTGATGAGTAAGACATTTGTAATTGATTTGTATATATATTTATGTACTTAAGCAGCAGTTCATGTTTTCTGCAAGGCTAGTTTACATTTAAAAAAATTGACCACAATATTAATTAATAGAACAAAGACTGTTTCAGAACTGCCATGAGAGAGTTAATATAAGGCAGTTTGGGTAGGGGATCAAACTTCACAGGGCTGTAACTGATGATAATGTAATTTCAATATATTGATTCTGAATTTCAACTTTTGAATGTCTTAGGATTCAGAATTCTTAGATTTTTGTCTGTGAAACTGCCAGCAAATTCAAGTCATAAGATGACTATTTTGTAGAAGGGCAATGGGTCTGTTTGGCTGATAGCCCCTGACATTTTCCACATATGATATGGTATTTAATATGAACTCTTGTGTCTTAAATTAGTAGAATAGAAATATTTAATATCCCAAGAGAGATGAAAAGGCCCTGTTGTATTTTTGCTCTGTACTACCTCTTCACCCTCCCCATGCTTTTCTGTTGTTTTATTAACTAAAGCTTCCTTTATCTAATTTGTATTTGAGATCTCTTATTTTTAGCCAAGATGTAAATCAATGAATAAGATTCTGTCCTAACTTAAACACACATGCAGTCCCATTGCTGTCATGGTGCCATATTTAGAATTAATATGTGAGTTAGACTAACTTAGATTTGCACCCCATTAGAGCTACGTACAGTTGCTTAATGAATTCAGAATTACCTGTCAAAGGCCTAAAGCTGCTTTTCTATTTTTTGCATGTATGTTAAATGCAAATACTACAGGAACATATATAAGAATGTAGGTTTTAAAGAGACATTATTAAGGGCACAAGATCAAACTATCCCAACACATGGGAAAATAAGAAGTATAGTAAGAGACCACTGGCTTAACCGGGAGATCTTCAACAACCTGAAACTCAAAAAGAGTCATACAAAAAGTGGAAACTAGGTCACATGACAAAGGATGAATATAAAAAAAACAACAGAAGCATGTAGGGACAGAATGGAAAAGGCCAAGGCAAAAAATGGGATTAAACTAGCTACGAACATAGAGAGTAACAAGAAAACATCTTATAAATACATTAGAAGTAAGAGGAACACCAAGGACAGGGTAGGCCCATTATTCAGCGAGGAGGGAAAGACAATAACAGAAAATGCAGCAATGGCCAGTGTTAAATAAATGCCTTTTTTGTTTCCATTTTCACAAAAACAGTTAGCAGTGATTGGATGACTAACATACTGAACATCAGTGTAAATGGTGCAGGATCTAAGGCTAAAATAGGGAAAGAACAAATTAAGAATTACTTAGTCAAGTTAGATTTCCTCAAGTCAGCAGGGCCAGATAAATACATCCTAGAATATTTAAGGAACTGGCTGAAGAGATCGCCGAGCCATTAGCAGTTATCTTTGAGAACTCATGGAGTTTAGAAGAGATCCCAAAGGACTGGAAAAGGGCAAATATAGTACCTATTTGTAAAGAATAAGGATAACGCAGGGAATTAGAGACTAGTCATCTTAACTTTGGTACACAGAAACATAATAGGGTAAATAATTAATTTGTAAGTACCTAGAAGAAAACAAAGTGGTAAGTAACTGTCAACATGAATCTGTCAAGAACAAATCATGTCAAACCAACCTAATATCTTTCTTTGGTAGGGTAACAAGTCTTGTGG